GGGGTTATTGGGAGGGGAGGAGGATTGCATGATGTGTTTGTGTTTGTGTGTGGTGTTTGATAGGGTGACGGAGGAGGGTCGAGAATCGAGAAAGGGTGTTGGGTTTTGGGTGTTTGGCGAGAAGGTCTAGCATTTAAGTAGGTAGGCCGGGGTGAAATAAAGTTGAAAGAAATAATATTTGGCCCCCGAAGGATCGTAGTTTACCGTACTAAATGGCTGCGGCTCCTGCAGCGCTAGAGAGATTAGTGCCTAAGGTAGATCCAGTTACGTCCTCGAGGGCCTGAGCGCTGGTGATGGTGATATTCATTCTACGTGAGTTCTACGCAGCAGTTACTTTGTAGGATGGATGGAGCGGGACTTGCTCTTGAGCTGGGGTATTTCTTTGCATTCACCAACGTCAAGGAGATTAGTTTGTAGATAGTTTTGAGTCCTAGCTTCTTTCCGAAACCCCAATAGCGGAGTGACCAAGCGAGAGCTAGTAAAGATTGTAAGAAGAGAAGCCAGTCAAGGCCGACCAAACGACCCTAGTCCCAAGCCAACCAAAGCAGTGGCAGAGGAGCGGAGGCTACCAAGGCAACGTTGAGACCGTCTACTCCTCCTGCTCATACTCCACACCCTCCTCCTGCTCGTAGCCATCACCCTCGCCGTCCGAGATGGTGGCCTCCTGGTACTGCTGGTACTCGCTCATGAGGTCATTCATGTTGCTCTCGGCCTCGGTGAACTCCATCTCATCCATACCCTCGCCGGTGTACCAGTGCAAGAAGGCCTTGCGGCGGAACATGGCGGTGAACTGGGTGGAAACACGGCCGAAGAGTTCCTGGACGGAGGTGGAGTTTCCAACAAACGTGGCGGCCATCTTCAGACCCTTGGGGGGCACGGAACACACGGCGGTTTGGACGTTCGAGGGGATCCATTCAACGAAGTATGCGGAGTGCTTGTTTTGCATGTTGCGCATTTGGTCTTCGACTTCTTTCATGGAGACCTTGCCGCGGCTGTTGTTTGTTAGTATGATAACAAGATTGGGGCGAATGGGCATAAAAGGGAACGTACAATAGGGTGGAGCAAGTCAGGAAGCGGCCGTTCTGGTAGTTCGCGGCGGTCATCATGTTGCGGGTATCGAACATTTGCTGCGTGAGCTCAGGGACGGACACGTTGCGGAACGTCGACGAGCTGCGGCTAGTTAAGGGCGCGAAACCGACCATGAAGAAATGCAGACGGGGGAAGGGGACCATGTTGACGGCCAACTTGCGCAGATCGGAGTTCAGCTGGCCGGGGAAGCGCAGACTGACAGTGATACCGGACATGACGGTGGACACCAGGTGGTTGAGATCGCCATACGAAGGAGACGACAGCTTGAGTGTCCGCATGCAAATGTCATACAGCGCATCGTTGTCCAGAAGGAAGGTCTCATCGGAGTGTTCAACCAGTTGGTGGACCGAGAGTGTCGCGTTGTACGGTTCCACAACCGTATCAGACACCTTGGGCGAAGGCGTAACCGAGAAGGTGGCCATCATGCGATCAGGGAATTCTTCGCGGATCTTCGAGATAAGCAGTGTGCCCATTCCAGAGCCAGTGCCTCCTCCCAGCGAGTGCGTCACCTGGAAGCCCTGCAGGCAGTCACAGTTCTCCGCTTCGCGACGCACAACGTCAATGACCTGGTCAACCAGCTCCGCACCCTCAGTATAATGGCCCTTGGCCCAGTTGTTTCCGGCGCTGGATTGTCCGTAGATGAAGTTATCCGGGCGGTAGAGGGCGCCGTTGGGGCCGGAGCGAAGGGAGTCCATGGTGCCGGGTTCGAGATCGATGCAAACCGCGCGAGGAACGTACTTCTTGCCGCCGGCTTCGTTGAAGTAGACATTCATCCGCTCGAGCTGGAGGTCATCGTCGCCGGTGTACCTAGCTGGTGTTAGGGGGGTCGAGAGGACGGGATCGGTTCACTAACACGCCGGAGGGGTCAAGGCCATGTTCGCCGATGATGGTCTGCCTGCGAGAACGTCAGAGAAAAATAGATACGGAGGACCGTTAGGAAACTTACCAGAAGGCAGAACCAATCTGGTTACCCTGGAGAAGCGAGATTTCAGCACCGTTAGGTTTTTGGGCCGGAAATCGGAGAACTTACACACTGGCCGGTTTGGAGGTGGACCTAAAGAAGATTAGCGAGATAACCACAGGATGATGCGAGAAAAACGCACAATCTCACGCATTTTGAGCTTGGGGTGGATGGGGATGTGTTGAGGGGAGTTGGGAGAGGGAAGAGAAGGAGAGAAAGTGGAAAAGAAGTTGAGGTGCTCTCTGGATGCAGTGGTACCTAACTGGATCGAGCTACCCCGGCCAGATCAGGCCTAGACGCCTGGGAGAGATCGCTAGTCCGCTGAATGAGGCTTGGGGCCAGTCGGAGTCGGCGTCGGAGAGACATCTCTGCGGCGTCTGCGCTGGATGCAAACCAAAAATTGGAGACCAGTTCGGCCATCACACCGCTACCCACGGCGATTGCCTTTGGTCCGTGCTAGACCCTGTAAAACTAAACAGACGGCGGACGGATTGCCCTCCGATGGCTGGTGGAGCAACTTAGTTTGAGGTTCTTTGTTGACGGTCATGATGATCGGCGAGGCCAATGTCTCCGAGTCCCAGGCAAGGGGCTGCAATTTCTGCTGTCTGTGGTAATCAGTCTCGTAAGATGCGTCTGACAAGCGGCCATTGACACTGTGAAAAGAGCTGGTCTCCAATCAATGGCCTGATCATCTTTTGGGTGCAGGAGGAGGAAGTGACTACAAAATTGGCGCCCCACCTTGCTGCCTGAGCCTTGAGGCCAGAAGAATATCTGGCGCATCATGTGACTGCTGAGTCAGCTCGTTCTCCTCCACCAGCAGCATAAGACCACGCACCAGATGGAATCCACACTCGCCTGCCATGACCGAGGACTGCCCGCAGAATCCAACTGGATGCCAACGATCCAGAACCGGCTGCTTTACCTGCCGTCGCCGCAAGAAGAAGTGCGATGAAATCCACCCAATCTGCGGGGGCTGTGCCAGGAACCACCTACCATGCCAATGGGTCGATCATGTATATCCCACAGCTCGTCGCCCCAGACGCCGGGCTCACCAGACCCGGTTCTGGCCACGAGGCGTGGCCATTCCACAGGAGCTTGATGGTATGGTGACCGTTTTTGCTGTCCCCAGTCGACCCATCCTGTATCGCCTCTTGGCCCATTTCACAGACTGCAGTCCGCTGTGGATGTCCATCAGCCCGGGGCGACGGAGAAGTCAGTTTCTGCGCCATATCATTCCTACGGCGCTGGGCCAGACCCTGACGATGGACTGTCTGTTGGCGGTGGCGGCCGGGGATTTGATGAAGTATGAGATGGAAGAGCCAGAGCTGCGAATGATTGCTCTCGAATTGTACGGGAAAGCCGTTGCTGGACTACGGACTGCTATTAGTGAAGAATTGGCTTCATGTGCACAAACCTGCTCTTCAGGTACATCCAGATGTTATAGCCAACTTACGATAAGCTAACTTCGACAGATGGCATTGTCCTGGCAGTTCTTTTGTTATGCGTGCACGAGGTATGCCTTTCATTGCCACAGGTACTGACTATTGACTGACAAGGACAGACTCACAACTTCTCCGACACAAGCCGGTTGCTCCCCCACCTCAATGCCGCTGCGTTCCTCTTGAAGCAGAGAATATCTCTTGCGCCTCCAGATCCCGATTTACGAGCATTCCTGCTCGAAGTATTCTGCTACTTCTTCTCCTTGACGGCTTTTTCGCATGGGCCAAGTCTCATCTTGGATCTGGCCGCTCAGATCTTCGACTCCATTGACCATAACACCACTCAGAGCCTGCTCTTAGGCCAATCGCAGGACTTGATCATCACCATCTTCCGGGTTACGAGACTGGCAAAAGACTTGCCTTGTATGCCCGGGCCGGTGCTAGCCGAACTAGCCAACATCGAGGCTCAGTTGGCTAACGACCAAATGCCAGGGACCGCTGGCGAGGCTTACTATGATGATGATAGGGTCATGTATGAACTCTATCGTCTTTCATGCCTCATCTATGTCAAACAGACCATGGATCCGCTACTACCTCCACGAGATGCAGAGCTACAAGACATTGTCGACCACTTCGTTGCCCAACTGGACAGTCTACCGCACGATTCGCCCTCAAACGGCCTCTTGGCATGGCCGTTGGTTATCACAGGCTTTTATGCGGTGGCCCCTCCTCATCAACGTATTATCCTAGCTCGACTGCGCCTCATCTACAAGACTTGGAGAACCGATATTTTCCCGCAGACCGTGGATTATCTGCGCCAGTTTTGGGGTCTAGGAAGTGTTGACAAAGATCGCTATCTGGACTGCGATGGTGATGACTCCCGCTTGCCTTTGGGCTTTAGGTTTCAGAATCTCCACCTTCCAACCGTCCTTGTCTAGTTAAGGGAACTATGCTGGATTGCAAGCGTATCGAATGCAGAGAGACCCGCCTTGGCAGTTCAGACAATTGGCATTGTCGCGCCCTCCATCCTCATCAAACTCATCCAATCCCAGCTTCGTTTGTCTCCGGCATCGTAGTTGCCCCAACTCCTTCGAATCAACCGATAGCACAGCGTTATATTCCCCCGCCGACAGTACGCCTTTGTCTTTTCTAACAAGGCACCGAGAGTTGTCCTATCCTCCTGCCGCGTACAGGCGACGCCGGCAACAAAGCTTGGAAACAGGAGGAATGGCCGCAAGGCCTCTGTTTTTATAGATGACAAAAGCTCCAAGCATTGACAGACCACGGCCTGCACTCTATCGTCGTTAATACTTTCCGGATACAGGATGGAAAACAGCCAGATGAAGCATGCGGTGGTGTAGGCGCGGGAAATGGCATGATCATCGGACGGAAGCTCGATGGCATGTCCCCAATCATCGAGGTCTTTCCAGATTTCAACGGCTCGAACAATCATGGACGCTGATGGCGCCGTCTCAGCTTCCGAACGTAAAGCTGAAATTTGTGCAATCAGACCAAGCGGCAACAGCCCGTTCCTCGCGCTCGAACATCCTGCGAACATACGCCTCCAGCTCGGGGTTAGTGTGTCTTTACTCGCTTGTAGATGGCTCGTCACGCCTCCAAGCGTATAATGGTAGCTGAAGAATTCCACAAACGCACGTTGGCTAGGTAATGCGCCTCCTTCGGAGTCCTCTCTGTCAATCCCCTGGACAATCTCTCTGTTATTGAGAAGCTCGAGCAGAACATCACTTGCCCCGTTCAATCGCTCCTGCCAAGCCCCGTTGCCAATTCCTTCTGAAACATTATACAGATAGAGCAAGCAGTAGCTGCTAATCAAGGCTTCTGCTTCTGTCTGCTCTTCCGAGTGTTGCGTTATATCCTGCTCTCGCATCAGACCGGTTCGAAAAGCATCGACGCGCCGTGATAATTCTTCTTCGGCATTTTCGGCCAACCTTGTCTTCTCGACGGAAAGACTTTCGCTCTCTCCTTCGGCACCAATAGGGCACAAACACCGGCCCAGATGCGATGCCCCAAGACAAAGCGCGGCCTTTAAGACCATCTGATCCCGTGTACTCAACCGGAAAATCACAGACATGAATGACTCCGGCTCCGGATCTGATGGCCGCGGTGGGGGAATTTCCGGGGGTACGAGGACAAAGACATGAGGTATGACGGTGACGAAGTGGCAGAAGAAGCGTGCTTCATTAGCCGTTATGCCTTTTTCCGGCAGACTGGGGTTTGAGGAATGGGGATGCGGTCCCCAAGAGCTGGTGAAAGACCGGAGGTGCGGTTCGATTGAAACACCTATTGATCACCGCGGTGGTCAGAAGAGTCTTGAAGAGGACAGAACATGAGTTCGGGCGTCCAGGGGATAGACGAACAGTCAAATGGGTGGAAATGACACAGTGCGGTTTTCTGCTGGCAGAGGCACCGGCAAGTACAAGAGCTCTTTGAAGTCATCGCGGTGATTGTAAGTGTGACTGGCCGAGTATGCGGTAGTGAAGGACTAACATCAAGTATAGGTCAAAACGGGCCTGGGCTTGGAGGTACTTCTCTTCTCGTTTATACCCCGTCCTTTCGCCTTCTACCTCCTTGACGGCCATACCCCAACCCGGGTGATCGTGTGAGATACCTAGGTATATCCAGTTCTGCCTGTTAGGCCAGTTGCAATGGGTCTTCTAGTCATTGGATTTACCACCTGTCCGTGCTCAACGCCACTAACTAGGCCAATGTCTCCAAATCTCAATGATAGTGGAGCAACACTGAGGCCACCTGCCCATGGAGCTGCTGCCACCTTCCAAGTCCAGCATAGGTAGTCCCATTTGAATAAATCGCAGCCGCCTCAAGCGCGGTCCTAGCATCATGTCACTGCAAGACCGGTAGCCTGTAGGGCTATAATAAGCTCGACGCTAACCGTTCCGGGCGAGATAATAGCCGCGCCTCCACATTCCGCCACTGGACCCACCGCCACAGACCACATGGCGGGGGCTCCGACGGGGCGAACCGGAGTATGCTCGGAGATTCCCCGTCCTCATTATTAAGAAGGGACTGGCCGCACCAAGAAAAAGGTAATCCTCTCAAGAGCTCCTCCGAATCAACATCGATTTCACCAGGAAGTCGCACCTTCCTTCTAAATCCGCAAGATGGTCCTCACACACATCAACGAAGAAGCGAACCTCGCGCGCATGGAGCGCGGCGAGCTCTATTACGCGTTTACACCGAACCTCGTTGCTGCTCGAAAACGGTGCTCGAGGGTCGTGAGCCGGATGAATAACGCGGGCGAGCTGACAAGGAGGGAAATGGCGGAGTTCTGGAAGGAGTGAGTCACCCGAATACCTTACTCTGCAGGTATTCCCTCAAGCAAGCCAGCTAACCTCTAATAGAATCACAACCGACCCAACCCCAATCCCCTTACCCGCATCCCTTCCCTCAACAGCCACACCCCAAGACCACGAAGAATCCGAAGATACCATCCTCCAATCCTACCCCTGGATCGAGCGCCCCATAGCAATCGACTACGGCTACAACGTAAGCGTCGGCAAAGACGTCTTCATCAACTTCAACTGCGTGATTCTGGACACGTGCAAAGTAACCATCGGCTCGCGGACCCTGATAGGCCCGAACGTCTCCCTGTTTTCCGGAACGCATCCCGTTGACCCTGATCTGCGTAATGGGACGCATGGGCCTGAGTACGGTGGTCCGATTACGATCGGCGATGATTGCTGGATTGCGGGGAATGTGGTTGTTCTTCCTGGCGTGACGATTGGGGATGGGGTTACGGTTGGGGCGGGGAGTGTGGTTACCAAGGTGTGTTTCTGCTATTTCCATTTCCCTCGTACACAAGTGTGTTGTGAAGTGAGTTCGCTGATCATCTGCCTGTAGGATATACCCGCGTTTCATGTTGCGGCTGGAAACCCGGCGCGGGTTCTGAGGAAGGTTGAGCGGCCTGCGTCTGAGGGCGTTGGTAAGACTAAGGACGCGAACAGTGCTAGCAAGGCTTGAGTCTTGGAAAAATGATTCTACATGATTCCCTTGGCGAACTTGAGGTACCTGGGGATGCTTATCGGGTCTATATCATTTTCAATAAGAAAAAAAAAAAAGAAAACAACTTAACGCATTCTCCCGTCGTGCACCCAGGACGACATCCTCTTTCCAGTGGTTGCTTTCCATGACAAGGCAGGGAGGAATGATATTAAGGCCGTGCGTATAAGGGGCACAATCAAGGAAGAAAGGTCCAGCACCGAGCCCTTGGTGTTAAACATCCCTGTCTCATGCTGCGAATATGGACGGAAAATCCTCTCACCATTCATTCTCAAGTCCGCGTAAAGTCTGACCCTGTGAAAGGGCTAATCAGGAGCCTGGCTGTGCCGCTTGTGCTACCCTCGTTCATTTGCATCCCGGTGTACGGCGACGTATAAGAACGCATTGAGAGGGCGATTTGGAGTGTTACACCGGAATTCGCTGAAGAGGCTGAGACTGGTCTCTGTTCTAGAATCAGCCTCGTCTTGACGGATTTTAATAAGGGGCGCACCATCCGCATTTACAGAGAAACCCGCAACTTGCCTCACTCCGACCCTTCGCTCCCACAACCCTACACTTGATAATGTCTCATTATATGCACGTTGATGCCAGCCAAGACCATGCGTCCGAGTACGAGTTACTTGCTCGGACGGCTAGTCCTCGTCCTCGCCAACCAACTAACCCACCGAAGCGGCCTAGGCGCCTTATTCGGTCCTGGTCCTCACTGACAGCAAACACATGGTTTTGGGAGATCCTGGCAATACTATTCAGCCTCGCCTGTTTTACCTCCATTATCTGCGTGCTGATAGTATGCAATGACAAGCCTCAACCGAGGTTCTCGTACGGTGTCACCCTCAATGCCATCATCGCTATCCTCGCAACCGCGTCCAAATCTTCCCTTATATATGTGGTTTCAGAGTGTATCGGACAGTTAAAGTGGATTTGGTTCTATGGGGAGCAGAAAAGACAACTCGATGACATACAACTGTTTGACAGTGCTGGCCGAGGGCCACTCGGATCTCTCCTGGTGCTCTTCCATCACAGAGGCAAATCACTAGTGTCGCTAGGGGCACTTATAACACTGCTTGCACTTATCTTCGATCCGTCTCTACAGCAGCTTCTCACCCATTCAAGCAGGCCGGCCGTGGAGAAAGCTGCTTATGCCGAGGCAACCGCAAACCGAGCGCTCGACTTCCTTCCTGGCACCATCAGCGCAGAGCGCTCCGCCACAGAACTACACCAGATCATAACCACTGGTGTATGGTCCAAGACGCCAGAGCATTTGAACCCGGTTGTAACGTGTTTGTCTAGAAACTGCATATGGAAAGCTTTTAAGACCGCGGCAATATGCACTCAATGTGAGGACATCACCACCCTGACTAGGCTCAAATGCGATCCGATTGACATCAACGACACTCTTGCGGGCGGCCGGGGATACATAGACGAGACAAGATGTAACCTTATACCACCGCAAGGAGAAGATTATCGCTATGCCATTAAGATCGAAAACTATTATGATAACCGTACGACCATACATGTCCCAACTCAATCAATGTGGTCTCCCTTTACACTCCGTCCAGGTCATGCGGGAATGCATGGTGGTAGCATTGAGACCTATGCCGGCATGGCAAATCCGCAGCTTGTTCTAGCTCATGCACAATTGACCTTGATAAAAGAAAAGGTAACCGGACTCACCAAGCAACTGGATCTGGCGAAAGTATTCCGGGTCGCGAAGGCAACTCAATGCGCTCTGACTATTTGCACAAGAACATATAATATATTAGTTACCAATGGAACTGCATCGTTCAACGTTTCTGCCACCGATTATGGCGAACGGTTTCCCTCACCGGATGGAAATCTCGACTATGACTGCTGGAGACCAGTGCACAACTCTACTTCTGAGCTCCCCGTCATGACAGAGACTGTTGGCCACTAGGATGAGGTTGAGTACAGGGTATGGAGAAATGCGTCCGAGTTTGCCTTTTGTCCGGTAGATGATTACTCCTTCATGAAGATCTTTTTAAAGAGTTACATGTTAGAAGAATACGGGCTTACTAACACCTCGCTATTTAAAAAGTATCCACCTATTTCTTTTGCACAAGTGCTAACTATCTTAAAGGTTGCTAGTGTTGGACTTAAGCCCATTATAAAGAATATTACCGCAGCCATAAAAGGGCCAGACTTACCGCAAGCAAGCATACTATTAAGGACACCGTGTACACTTTTTAAGCATATATATTTGTTAACTAAAGCTGGCTTGTTTTTTTAACCACGTTAATATTACTTGCAATGCTCTTCCTGTGTTAAACTATTATAGTAAATAAGCAGCGAAAGCTTTATTTTTGGAAATTGTTTATTTTTGCCGTGCTTTTTCACGGCCTCAACAATAGGAAAACGGATGTTTTGAATAGGAAGACAGAGACCTTAATTCAAATAGAGACAACAGCGCAGGCCCTACAAGTAAGATTGAGGACGGTGGACCCCCAGCGGGGTCTTATGCTGGACTAGGCTTGGGGTTGTACTGTGCTTGGGGACCTTTTGCTCGTGTCCGTGCTCCCCTAGTCACGAACACTACCATAATAAGCACCCAGGGGCCTCAGGGTATGCATCGATAACGTCTCGGTCTTTCCTCGGGGGCCGCGTACTCAGGGAACTGCAACACGGGGGCCGTAGCTGCTCCAGGGGATGAAAATGCATTTCTTTGGATTTAACTCTGCCAGCAAAAAAATAAAGAGGCATCCGCTTCTGCAAACGTTTCATGGACTAGGGACATGAGTGTCAGCGCCCCTTGCCACCAACCCACGCTGGGAGTGGCATTATTCCCTTGTATGCCCATTGCCTCCTAACCGAGACAGTCCTCCAAGCGTCTACATCTCAGCCTAAGTTTAGTCGACTTATGCACTAACGTACGGGAGCCCCCAAAGCAACATAATTCCCTCGCATGAACGGCTCGGCATAATCAATCCACTGCTCCCAGCAGCGTCGTCATTGCTAAGGCCATATCAGGCTCTCAGCGGGATGGTCTGGAGCCAACACAAAGTAGACTGATTAATAGGCTTGAACCCGTGTCGGTATTCTGTATGATTCAGGTGACTCCAGCTGCTCCGAAACCGCCATCTAAAAACATGATTGGCGTTATAATCAGACTTGTTGCACAGTCTCTAAATAACTAGTTTAGTTAAAGCTTCTCGCACTCAGCATTGTTTGGCCTATAATTAAAATCTAACCTTCGGTGCTAACTGCTGTGGCTAGGATAGCTAATACTAACATGGATGCTGCTATGCATTAAGTTTATTGGAAGACTAGGTATAGTATACTGCATTAATAAGTTTAAATATAGTTTGTCTCGCTAGCACGTCCCTGTAAGGCTACAGTGGCAGACACGCATTTAAAAAAGAAACATATCTAGCTTTCCTTATGGGTAATTTACTAGGTAATTGTGTCATGGCATGGAAGCATCGCGGGGCCTAGATCCTGCTTTCCTATTTTATCCTAACTACATAGAGCGGGATCTACTGCTTCTCCGGTATGATTATTCACCTGCTTTTAATGGCTGTGTGAGTCGTAAGAATGGCAGGGTACCTTTCTTCTAAGAACAGCAAGTAAACGTACATTCTAAGAGGTCCATGTGATTGCATTCAGTAGCGTCACTATTGATGTGTCAAAGAAAGAGCTCGTATAGCCAGTCCGGTGCATGTTAGGTAAATGCAGCCCGAGGTGTTTGCCGACGACTCCACAGTTTGGAGACATACGGTACCTACCTAAGCACCAAGTCAGAGTAGCCGGTCGCCAATTCATCAACGGGAACTGCCAAGGGCATGGCTTTACATTTGTTTCTATCCCGCTCGCGTGTGGTGCAGGTGGCGATGCTGGACGGCCGAAAAAAGAGAGTTAGGGCTAGCATGGGACAACTACATAGGATACGGTAGGTGCTTGATCAGTGCCTGCACTGAGAGGTTGACCCTTATTATGGTCTGTCTGCTTCCCTTTCTACTCGTTCAGATCAAGAGAATCTGATACGAGGGCAATAACAAGGACAAGGCCGCTGAGCTGCGTATAGAATCTCGCCTCCAGAAGGCAAAGCTTTATCTCCTGCAGCGCAACTTCCAAGCCTCTTATCATTTGCCAAGAGGCCATCGAGTATTTTGGCCAATGACACTGCAAACGCGTCTAATCCTACTTGAATTAGCGGCTTTCGTGCTCGGCAGGATCGGTTCGTGAGTCTTGTCAACTCCTTGGGTCGCAATGCCAACACCTTCTCTGCCGTTGGAGACGCTGTTGTGTTGGATAGGCCAGAGGAGCTACTCATGGAAATAAAATAAAAATATCGCAAGATAAATAATAATATTATAAAATAATAAGTAAATCTAGCTAAAAAATAATTTATATATAAAATTTTTAATAAAAAAAGTAATATATAATAATACTAGCCTTTGTAAAATAAGCACGGGGAATAAAGCTAATTTAGGCTAAAGGCTTTTAATAACTTTTATAATTTATTAATTTTTTACTTTAATATAGCCCCCTAGTGTTAATATACTAAAGTTATATAAAACTTATAAAAATATAAAAATTATAAAAATATGGTAATTAAGTAGCTAAAATTTTAATTTTTTATATTAAATTTATTACTACTAATTTTAATATTTTAATAAAACTTTAAAACTTTACCTTATCCAGCGCCTTTATTAGGCTATTTACTAAATTTTTAATTTTATTAATTTTTTTAAACTTTATAAGGTTTTTAGTAATAAAATTTTTTATTAAAAAGTAATAAATATTTATTTATTTAGTTCCTAAAGTATACCCTGGTTTTTTTAACTTAATAATTATATTTATTAAATTTATATAAATTATTATAAATTTTTTAATATTAAACCTTAAAGCTATATATAACTTTTTAAGCTAAATTACTTTTTTTACTATTATATTAAATATAATAAATTTTACTAAAGTTAAACTTCTAGCTATAATTAATTATCTTATAAATTTTTAAGAAATAGGTGCGCTGTAAAAATAAAATATATATACTTTTATTAATTTCCCTTTTTTATAATTAGCATGTAAATTATTTATATATTTAACTAGTATTTTATTATTTATACCTAAAAAAATATTAAGATTTTAATACTTTTTAAAATATTAAAATATATGCTTAACCGCGGCAAAGTTAGTACTTTAAAAATTTAAAGTATATTTTAGTAATTTTATAATAATATATTTAATATCTAGCCTTGTCCTTTTAAATATCTAGTTAAGCTTTTTTATTAATTATTAATACTTTAAAATATTTTTTTTTTATAATAATTTAAATGCAGCAACAGCCGCCTTTATTAAGTATTTTTAACCTAGATTTATTAAAATCCTTTGCCTGTTTAATTTATTAAAGTTTAATTAATTTAAAATCTTTTAAATATAGGTTTTTTAAAAAATAAGTATCCCTTTTTTTATAAAATTAATATTATATTTTAAAAATTACTTTAATTTTCCTAGGATTTTAAGTTTAAAATACTTAGCTAACTTTTTTAAAAACTTTTTATAAATTTTTTTTATAAGCGCTGCTACCAAGGTATTATTTATATAAATAATTATAATACTACCCTTGTAGGCGTAATAAAAAAAATATAAATTTTTTTTAATATTTTAAAGGCTTATACTTTTTAATATATTTATAAATATCTTATTTTAAAAGTATATTACTTTTTTTAATTTATATAAGGCGCGAAAAAGTAAGTAAATAAATTTTTTTTTTTTAAACTTATAGGTTACTTTATAAAAACCTTTTCTTACTTTATTATAAAGTTAAGATAGGTAGTTATCATGTTAAATTAAATATAATAATAGCCTTTTTTATAAATAGCTATAAAATAAATTTTTACTAGCATGTTAATAATAACTAAAGTATATATTTTTAATTTACTATTTTTAACTTAAAAGTTACTACAAGCCACCTAGCAGGCACGGAACTTCTTAATATTATTTTTTTTATTTTTTTTAGTATTAAAAACCTATTTTCCTGGTATAATTTTCTTTTTTTTTTTAAATAATTATTAATTAAGGCACTAATCTCCACGCAGGAACGTTTTTAAGCTTAATATTTTACTTATTTATTACTTTAATTTAGTACTTTTTTTTAGGGAGATTTTATTACCTTCTTATAGTTATTTAAAATTAATATTTTATAAGTTTTAAAAAAATAAACGCTATTTAAAATTAGGAGTATAGGTAATACTAATAAATTAGGTAATTTTAACTTTTTTTTAGTATCCTAGTGTTTTTATTCTTGCTTTAATTACTTTACTTACTTATTTATAAAGTATACTAATTTAAATTATTTTTTATTAACTTTTTTACTAGGTAAAATTAGCCCTAAATCTTTTATTATAAATTAAAAGCGTTTTTTTTTTATTATTTTTTTTTACTTTTATAATATTATATCTTAGCCTTAAAGTATTAAGCCATGGCCATACATGTTTTATTATTAATTTTTAGGGTTAGTAAGTTTTTTAAAACTTTTTACTTTAAAACTACTTTATTTTTTTTTATTTTAATTAATTATAATACTTTTTATACTTATATTTCCTATTCTTTATAAGGCAAGAATACTAGCATATTATTAAAAATAAATAAACTTAGTAATTTACTTACTTATATTTTTTTTATCTTTTTTTTTATATTTTTTTTACTTTCTTAACTTTCTTAACTATCTTTTTAATTATTAATTTTTTAAATAGTTATATAAAATTTATACTAGGAGTATTTTCTTCCTTTAGTATTTATCCTACTTTTTTTATATAGCTATAATTAATATTAACTTAGTTACTAAAGGCGCTTTTTTTTAATATTTATTAAGTAAATACCTAAGCACGTGGCCTTAACTAATATATTAACTAAGCCTTATAACTTAGTAATTCTTCTTTTTTTATTAATATAGATTTTATAAATTTTAGGGCTAAAAGCGCTAGATTTAAAAATAAGATTTAAACCCTTTTAGTTATAATAATCTTTTTACTTTTATTAGCTATTTATAAATTATTATTATTAAAATTTTATATTTTAAATTACTTATTAAAACTAACTAAACCACCAGGGCCTTTATTATTAGGATTAGTTAATAAAGGTAATAAAGTAAGTAAAGGTGCTTTATTATTATTTTTACTTTTTTTAAATATAACATCTTTTAATTTAATAATCTTTCCAAACTTTAAAAAGTATACCTTATAAATATAAGATTTTTTATATTTTACAAGTTTTTTTTTTTTTTGCTTTAGGTATTATTTTTAAAGCTTTTATTTTTATTTTTACAGGGATATAAACATAGGCATTATATTTAAAAATTTATAAATACTTTAGTAAAGTATTATTTAGCACTAGTATTTTTAGGCCTTTTATAAATTTTTTTACTAGCAGTTTTATTTTACCTTTTTAAATAAATTAATTTTAAATATATAATGCGGATTTAACCACTAGTAGCTATAACTTTTTTAATAGCTTTATATTTATTATTATACTACAGGTAATTTATATAATATATTTATTAAAATACTTAATTTTTTTATTTTTTTTTTAGGTATATAGCTTAAAGTTTTTTTAAATTTAATACTAGTTTAATTCCAGCGGTACCAGGCCTTATAATTATTAAAATTCCTGGTATTATTACTTCTTATTTTTATAATATATATTCCGCTTATATTAAGCTATTATAAATACATGTAAATAAGCATGTTTACTACCTTATTTTTTTAATATAAAAACTAGTAAAAATAATCCCTAAAGTTATTATTAAGCACTAATAAAGTATAATTATATTTTTATATACTTTAAGGCTTTATTATTTAAATATTAACATGTACTATTTATAAAGGGTTTATAACTTATTATTAAAAAGTTTTAAAAACCTTTTTCTTTAACTTTACTAGTTTATATATTTTATAATTTATAATTATCTTATTATTTTAATATTTATTAAAATCTTTATTGTTATTATTTAACTATGTATAGTTTTTATTAAGTTATAATATTAATATATGGCCTAATTATCTATGCTAAACTTTTATTAAAACTAAAGCTATATTAAAGCTTGGTTTTTTATTAATATTTAGTTTACTTAGCCAAGGCACGTCCTTGTTAATATAAACCTTAAAAATAACCTTATTATTTTTTATTTATTAAATTTTTAAAAATTTACTATTATACTAAAGGCCTAGGTTTATTTTAATCTTTTTTATTAATAAAATATTATATGGTAATCTAAAAGACTATAAGTAATTAAACTATAATATTAATATCTTATTATTATTTAATTAAACATGTAGGTTAACTTTGCCTTTTTTTTTAAGAATTACTTTTTTACTATTTAATATAGTAAATGCGTGCTACAGGAGTTAAATAATATAAAATTTTTTTATAAGGTTTTTATTATTATATATAAAAATTCCAGAGCTAATATTTATAAGCTATTAATTATAAAACTTTAATATTATTAATATAATAAAAAGTATAGTATTATATATACTAAAGTCTGCACTATATTTACCCTAAGTTTATTAAAAAATTATAGCGGCGCTGGGCTTGCTGTTATTACTATTTTTAGTATTATTTAAATTTATTAGCCTAATAAACTTATAGCACCAGATTTTGCTTAATAATTACTAGCTTAATAATTATTTTTTTAGTACTAAATAATAATATTTTAAAAAATTATAAGGTCCTTTACCGTAATAATTATATATATTTTTTAGTAATTTTTTTTTTAAAGCTATCCTTTTTTTTATTATTACTTATTAAACACCCTTTTTTTTAAAGTACCTTAACAAGATACGTTTTAATCTTTATTTTTAAAATTAAAACTATTATTTTTATTCTTACTTTTATTTTTATTACTATTATTATTATTATTTTTTAATATTATTACTTAAATAAAGGTCTTAACTTTTGCTTTATCTAAAACTTTATAATAAACCTTTTAAAATTATACTATAATTATTTTTTTAATAGCACTTGCAGGTGTTAAAATATATTTTATTTTATAATATAAAGGTATCTTTACCCGTAGTTTTTTTAAAAGTAAAAAAAATTACTAGTATAAAGTAATAATTATATTAAATTTATTACTAAATTTATACTTTTTATAAAATACTTTAATAAACTCCTAAACTATACTATAGCTAGCCTGGTTAATAATAATAGCTTTTTTTTTAATTATATAAGCTATTATATATTTATTTTTATTAAAAACCTAGTTAATTTTAATATAAAACTTATTTATATATAACGCCTTTTTTAAATTTATATATATTATTTATATAATATTATTTATTAAACTTTTTACAAGCTATATCCAAACCTTTTTTAATATAATTACTTATTTTTAATATAATATTAATATTAATATTAGGTATAGTATATTTTTTTTAATAAGTACCTTAAAATTATATAGGTTTAATTTTAGGCTTATTAACTAAGTTTATATATTATAATCTTCCCTACCTTTTAGTTTTTTATTTATTATATTAAGTATAAAGGCTTTTTTTAGTAAATTTATTACTTAATTTATTATAATAATAAAAATAAATATTATTTTTATAATAGGTGTAAAAGTTATATTAAGTATTATAAAGCCTTTTAATATATTAAAAGTAAAGGTATTTATAAATATTAATTAAAATTAATTAATTAAACTTTAGGGCTTCCAGCGTTACTATCTTAATTAATTATATATAAATTTTTAAATATAAAATAAATAATAATAAGTAATATTTATAAATAAAATTTTAAAAAAATTAGGGGCTTATAACCTATTAAATAAGTTAAAAAAGCTATTTATAAAAATAAAATAAAAATATTATAAAATAAATAATAATATTATAAAATAATAAGTAAATCTAGCTAAAAAATAATTTATATATAAAATTTTTAATAAAAAAAGTAATATATAACAACGCTAGCCTTTTTAAAATAAGCGCAGGAAACAAAGCCAATTTAGGCTAGAGGCTTCTGGCGGCTTCTACGGCCTACCAGTCCTCCGCTCTGACATGTTGGAGTACAGTGCCTGAGGGGCTCAAGTCATATCAACACTGCAGCAGTGAAACTGCAATATTTAAGCATGGTATCGCTCATTTCTGCTCTTTATGTGGTGCTCACATCTCATATCCCCTCTTGGTTGAACATGCATTTGTCCACGTCCAGCTGGATAGCTGCCCTGGCAGCAAGCCAGACAGTCTCAAGCCTGTCCCTGGCCTCACCGTCATGCCACCACTCCGTAACCCTTAACGGCTACGGCTCCTTCTGCGGGACAACAATTTCCTCAACCCTCAGCAACGAGACCCTGCCAGCGCCCGTGGATGCCTGGCTGGGCATGGACTACGCAACGCAGCCAGATGGAGACCGGCGCTTCACGCCTTCGACCTGGCCTGAACCCTTCAAAGGCATCAAGAAAGCCGATACCTACGGCAAGGGCTGCATTCAAGACGGGACAATGTTCGACATCGCATCCCAAAGCGAAGCCTGTCTCAACTTCAACGTCTTCCGCACAAAGGGCGTCCCACTGAGCAAGAAACTGCCCGTCCTCGTCTGGATCCACGGGGGCTCCTTCAACATCGGCAGCTGGAAGAGCTTTGACGGCGCTTCATTCGCGGCTTCTTCGTCTGAACCGATTGTCGTGGTGAACTTCCACTACCGCATCAACTCGCTGGGTTTCCTCCCCTCCACGCTCTTCGAGGAAGAAGGACTCCTGAATCTCGGGATGCGAGACCAGCATCTCTTCCTGCGCTTCGTGCAGAAGCACATCGCCTCCTTCGGGGGAGATCCTGACGCCGTGACCATCGGCGGCCGCTCTGCAGGCGGACACTCCGTCGGCATCCACTACTTCCACAACTACGGCCCTGACAGGGGAAAGCCCCTGTTTGCACGCGCAATCCACCAGTCCGGCGCCGTGACGGCACGCGCGTTCCCCAACGCCTCGTACCCGCTCTACCAAGACCAATTCGCAGAGTACATGAGCTACCTGGGCTGTCCAGTGGACGGCGACAACAAAGCAGCCCTAGCATGCCTCCGAAACGCCGACATCAACCAAATCCGCACAGTCAGTACATCCATCTACGACAACTCCAACCGCGCACTAACCTGGCCGTTCCAGCCAGCGCAGGGCGGCCCGCTGCTTGAGAAATTCGGATCCGAGTCCGGCATGGACGGGACATTCTTCCACGTCCCCACGATCACATCCAGCACCACCAACGAAGGGAAGTTCTATGTCCCCGGCGATCTGCAAACAAACGGGGAGTTTCTGGGCTATATGCACAATATCTCGCCTGCACTTAACGCTACCGACCTGGCGCTCTTGGAAGCGCTCTATCCCGATCCAGTCACGAACGAAGACTCGCCGTACACAAACTCCCCCAACAGCACGCAGTACAACCGCCTCGCAACCACATGGTCTGACTACGCGTACATCTGTCCAAGCCAGGAAACAGCGACCCGCGCCTCGGCCGCGAACGTCCCGACATGGAAACTGCGCTTCGACACGAATAACTCTTTTCCCGCCTGGCAGGGGATCCCGCATACAGCGGATACAAAGTACACATGGGACGAGCCGAGCACGCAATATCCGGAAATCAGCCACGTGTACCATGCGTATCTGGCGAGTTTCGTGGTGTCGGGGGATCCGAATACCTTTAGATACCCCGGGGCTCCAGAGTGGCCGGGGTATCGGCCGGATAGGAAGACGCAGTTGGTGGTGAGGCCTGGGAATGGGACGAGGGCTGAGGTTGATGATGTTAGGGCGGAGGCTTGTGCGTATTGGAGGAGTGCTGAGCGGGCGTCGAGGTTGAATAAGTAGACTGGTGGCGTATGGCCTGGGTAGCCTAGCCTGGAGCCTTTCGATCCTCGACTGCACCCTGAGTGAGCTGTTGGCTCTGGGATGAAGGTTGTGGGTGATACAACCAGCAAGAGGACGCACAGTCCTGGGTTATAGATCCCATTGTATTTAGGGCAGAGTCACCACTCAACATCAGATCAATCGGCTCGATAAGAAGATATCAGCATAGACATGCAAATGTTTCTTTTTACGGATACCCTTCATGGGCTGTTAAGGTAGTTGATACCATCCTAATGGACATCTCTCACTCCACCCCCATATTCCGCCTATACGCCTCCGAAAGCCGCCCATAACTCCTCTTGACCCCCTCCACCAATCCCACATACTCCTTCTGGACGTTACCATCCTCAATCGCAGCCAACAGCTCCGCAAAACTCGTCGCCACCAACCGCCCACTCCGCAACTTATACTGCGGCCTCACCTGCTTCTCCCTCCCATCCAAACTCGCCTGCCTTGCGTCCCCCTCAGCCACATGAAACACCTCGTTGAAGATATCCAGGTCCCCGTGGCACTCAAACACAGCATGCGTCTCCTCGTACGTATACATGTACACGAAGTTGTCGAACCCCGCCCACAGGATCGCCGAGAGACAGAGCGAGCAGGGCTCGTGCGTCGTTAGGAAGATGCACTCGCTGACATGCGGCCGCTTGGTCTCTGGGATCGCGAAGAACTGCGTGATTGTCCAGGTTTCGCCGTGCCAGAGGGGCGACGTGCCTTCTTGGTTTGTGTGCGCGATTATAGTTGAGAGGTTGGATTTGCGGAGGATGGCGGCGCCGAAGAGCTTGGAGCCTTGGGCGACGGCGGCGGCGGAGAGCGGGTGGATTTCGGTTTTGATGCAGGCGCAAAGGGCGGAGAGGAGGGTTGTTGGCGGGTGTAGGGTTAGGGGGTCCGTCATGCTGGGCTGGCTCTGATGGATGATGGATGGTGGTTAGGGCTGCTTGGTGCGGTTCTGGGGTGACAGGGGCTTGGGAAGGGAGGGAGCGTAGCGTGAACAGTCCTACTTATATATACCAGATGTTATCTACCTTTGTTCCCCAGGATTTGATAATGCATGATACAAAGACTATGATAAGCTGCTTATCAGTCCGGGGTTTCCCTGCTTCGGGGATCTCCGATGGAACCCTAACCTTGTATAGACAGGACGCGGAGATGCTGGACATTCTACACGAAAGCCAAGATTAAATACCGGAGAGTGCAGCACTGTGGACCCAAGCCTGGATGGTAGTTCACTGTTGCATAGTTCCTAGATAGTGAGTATACAGGATCTGACCTACACCCCCTCCCTCGTAACCACAACCCCATCCCCACCAACCTCCACGCCCGCCGCAACAACGCCCCCAAGCACCAGCTCATACACCTCCATCTGCTCCCCATCCAACCCAACCTCCCTCCCATCCCCAAGTCCCGCAGCACAACCCTCAAACCGCACCTCCCCAAACCCCACAAACGGCACCGCCTCCCCGCCACTACTATAATCCTCCACAACCCACTCCGCATTGAGCCCAGCCAGGGTCGCCGTGCTCTTGGGCGCAGAGACCGTCGTCGTAACACTCTCCCCACTCGTCAGGTTCTCCATGATACAGACGCCGTGGTCCGCACCGCCACTGCGACCGTTGGCATCCGGAGTAAAAGACGCGTTCACCGAAGCAACAAGCACATCCCCCGGCAACACGGCAAACTCGTCAAAGTACCGCGCGAAATCCGGGTACCATTCGTACCACGCGTCCGTGTAGCCTTCTCCGTCGATCACGTAGATGTCGATCCCCGTTTGCAGGATTGCGGTGGCGTAAGTTGCGCCGTCGATGCCGAGCCACGCGGAGGCCGCTTGGTAGGTGGAGGCTGAGTCTGAATCTGAATCTGAATCTGACGAGGACGTGGGCGTTGGCGTGGGGACGGTGATGGTTGCCGAGACGAAGGCGTATGTGCTGTTTGGTAAAGGGTCGAGGACTGCGCCGGCCCAGTTGGTGCTGTATTGGACTTCTTTCTCTTCTTGGGTGGTGCGGGATGAGAGGGAGGTCCGGTTGAGGGTGCGTAGGGGGCGCAGGGCACGGTGGGCGCGGAGTTCGGTGAGCTTTTCGGGAGGTGGACGGGGGCGTGCTCGTGTGGGCTTTGAGCTTGCTAGGTGCAGGTTCAGGAGGGTGCAGAGGGCGAGGATGAGAAGAGTCCAGGGGGAGAGCATCTTGGCAACTAAGAGTGGGAGACTTGAGGAATGGAGGAACGTTGATCTGGAGGGGGGAGGAGAGCTTTATATACCTTGATACATCCCATGTAACCCTAACCCTACCTCCTCCATACGCACCGGGGACGCGATATCGGATTTACGCAATCCTGTTATTGCAAGATCCAGCTACTGGTCCACTACACTACATAGCCCTCACCACGGAAGACCGGCCTTTTACACCCGGTACAACGGCGTCGAAACCCCAACAGGCGTAGAGACAGCCACAGAGCTCGAGCTCGAGCTCGATCCCACCACCGAAGACCCCGAATCCGACACGTTCCCAACATACCCCTGCAGCGGCCCATTAGACGACTGGCAGCCGCTCACATAGTTGATCGTGACCTTGCACCCGTCGGCAAACAACGCATGCCCGCAGATCTCGCACCCGCCGCCTGATTCCTGGAAGGTGTGGTCGTAGGCGCTGCACGTACCGTTAGTATTACCTTAGTATATCCAGGAGAAAGGGAGGGAAGGGAAGGGAAACGCACGCGGCCATCTCGTCGCCCGTCATCTGGCAGTCGTCGCCCTCGACGAACACGCCGCACCCGAAGCCCGCGTTCATGCCGTCCGTGTAGCACGTCCCGGAGTTCTCGTCTTCGTCGGTCGTGCTGGGCCTGTTAGAGATGCTGGCGTAGGGAGGGAGGGAATAGGGAAGAGAACGCACCCGTACACCGTCGACTCCGTGAGGAAGGCCTTGGCCATGTCGCAGAAGCTGTGCAGGTCCGCGAACGTCCCGCACCGTATTGAGCCCTTGCAGTCGTACCCTGTCTCCGTGGCCGCGGGTGCCGTGGAGGACGTGGACGTCGCCGTCTTGGTCGTCGTTTCGTCGTTGTTGTCGTCGTCGTAGACGTGAGAGCCTCGTAGTAGCTGCTCATGGCGGACTCGATCCGCGACGACAGCGACGGGTTCGCGTAGTCCGTGTCCGTCTCAATGAAGGAGATCGTGCCCTCCTCGAGCCCGTCTTCATCCAGCGTGCTCGTGCTGGTCGTCGCGCGCGCCGAGCACGCCGTTATAGTCTCGCACCGGCTTGTCACGGTCGTCGTCGAGTACGTGGAGACCGGCGTCACCAGCGTGCTGGAGATATACGCCGTGCAGGAGTCTGCCTCTTCCGCCTCGCAGTCTGTGTCTTCGGATGTGCACCCGTCGCCTGTGCACACGCCGTTGTCGCATCCGTCTCCGGAGCACGTTACGATCCGGCAGTTGTTCCCTGTGCAGATGTAGGGCTTTGGTGTTGAGCCGTCGGTGCCGCCGCCGCTGGAGCTCGAGCCCCGGAGGCAGTCCAGTCCGATACACCCCCAGGAGAGGCAGTCGAGGCCGAAGCAGTGGCCTGTGCCGTCGCTGCTTCCGCTGTCGTCGTCGTTGTCGTTGTCGTCGTCGTCATCGTCATTGTCACTATCATCGTCACTGTCATCGCTGTCGCCGCAGTCATCCCCGATACAGCCGTGGTCTTGACAGTCATCGCCAGCGCAGTGGCCGTCCTCGCAGTCTGCGCCCGTGCAGGCCGTCGGGATGCAGTCGTCGCCCACGCAGACCCGATCGCTGCAGTCGCTGCCGGTGCACCCCTTCTCAATGCACAGTCCGCTGCCTGCGCACTTGCCGTTGACGCAGCCGGGGCCTGCGCATTTGCTGACGGCCGGGGGGTCGTCGTCCAGCGGGTCGATGAAGCTGGAGGAGCTCTCGCTGCCGCAGTCGGAGAGGCAGGGGCCGTCGCAGAAGGAGTAGCATTTGTGGCCGCAGTTGGCGGTGCATGTTGGGCCGGCTGGGTCGCCTGGGATTGTTAGTGGAGGCTCAGAGTCCCTAGGATTGGACGTGCGGACATACCCTGGGTAAAGGTGATGGTGGGATACTCGGTGCCGTCCGTGGTCCACGGCCATGGAGGAATGCTCACGGTGCGTGTGACTGGGGGATGTGTGACGCCCGACTCGTTCAGCGGGTTCGGATCGTCCGTCAAGGTAACGGGCTGGATTTCGATGCTGGGGATAAGCGCCGTGGCACTGGCCGTCACCACGTCGCTGATGTTCCAGTTGTAGTAGTTGATCAGGCTCGTGGTGATTGGATCCAGCGGGATGGTCGTGGCCATGATATACCGCGTGAGGGTCGAGGTGACAGTCGTGATACTCCCGCTGGTCACCGTCTTGGTCGTGCTCCACGCCACCTCCAGCGAGGTCGGATACCCGCCCAGGCTGATGGTTGTGGGCGTCTCGAGCACTGACTTGGGAAGGATGACACTGACGGGCGCAATGGCCGTGACGGTGGGCGAGTCGCCGAGGACTTCCTGCCCGACGTACAGGATCCCCGTGCCATCGCTGCCCCCGTCCGAGTCTGCGCCGCCCATCCCCGAGTCCGCAGTCAGGCTATTCGGGTTCTTGAGAGATCCTGGCCCGCCCATGTCCAGGGCCCAGCTGAACAGCCCGCCCAGGCACAGGGAGTTCGCGAAATCCGCCTTCTGCTTCAGCGTGCGGCCGTCGTCGTAGGAGACCCTGCAGGTAATATCTTGGTTAGACTGACACCCACGTCCGCACAGGTTTGGATCTCACCATTGATCCCCACTCCAGGTCATCCAGTTCACACCCGCCGTCTCGTCGTACTCCGCGTTGACAGAATAGTCCTCAATGATGCGGGCAATCTCGTAGTCCGACAGGATCCCGCTGGTGCCGGTGCACTCGCCGGCGCGCGCGCCCCCGCTATCCCCACTGCTGGTGTCGAAGTCGCAGCCTGGAACGCTGCACGTCGAGTCGGCGAGGGTGAACGAGCGGCCGTAGAAGCCCAGACCGAGCAGGACCTTGCTGGGCTCGATGCCGTTGCGCCAGAGCAGATCCAGGCCCGCGGAGATTTCTATTCTGTCAGCCTGTACTACCGTGTTCATCTGGTGCAAATGGGCTGAACATACCAGTGAGGTTCGTGTGGGGATTGATGACCGAGCTCGTCCACTCGCTATTCCCATCCCACGTCCCGTGGATGTCATACGACATGAAATTGAAATAGTCGACGTAGTCCTGCATCCCGGCCAGGTCGAAGCCCTTCAGGTACCCTGCGTTGTTTAGTTAGAATAGAACACCAATGAGCGATAGAGCATACAGTAAGACGACGGCAGGGTACAGGTGATCCCGTATTTGGTCCCGGTTGCCTCCTTGAGCTCCTTCAGAAAGGTAACCAGGTTGGCCGTATCTCTGGCAGCACCACCGCGGTCTTCGGCAGCCGGATACTCCCAGTCAATGTCGATGCCGTCAAACCCGTACTCCTCCATCAGGGCAACTGCAGACTCAATAAACGCTGACCGGGTCCCAGGGAAGCGCGTCATGTCTGAAAACACCTTGCCACCCACATCCCACCCTCCGACGGCGATGTAAGTTTTAAGCGTGGCCTTTTTCTCCTTGAGTGCCGTAAACTTCGACATGTACTCCTTGTCGTTAGCGTTTGTGGTGGTGATTGTGAAGTCGCTGGAGTCGATGCCGGCGAACGAGTAGTATAGGTGCTGGCTGTGTTAGCTCGAGCCATGGCATATGGCTGGGGTGAGACAGGGAGTTGAGCCAGCTAGTGGCGCTCCTTCATGAAAGACGTACTGTCCATGGGGCAACATTGATATTCTCCGGCAGCACAACGTCACAGGGCCGGTCAGGGTTCCATCCCTCATAGTAGCCCAGGTAGACTGCCTCACTGGAAGAGCCCGAGCAAGACGGCTGGTTGACCGCATCACAGCCACTCTGGCACCCAGTCCCGCAGAAGTCCTCGGTTGTGCCGCAGAACCTGAAGCGTTGTCAGCACTGGCAGCACACGGTCTTGAGGTGAGGGATGCACACCCGTATTGCGAGCAGCAGACGTTCAGCGGGCATTCCGTCCCCGCGGTCTCAGCGTACTCTAGGAGAAATGGTTAGCAGGTATGCCTTGATAGTGCGTCGAACATACCGCCACATTCAGCCACAGCATCGCAGTTCGAGATGCAATTGTCGCCGCAGAAATCTGGCCCAAAGCCGCAGTAGCCCTCGGACGAGCAGCAGCCAGAGTCACACTCTTCTTTCTCGGAGCATGAGCCCAGCTCCGCGTGCACTGGCTGGAACCGGGTCAAGGATGCCAGGAGCAGCAGGAATCGTGGTCCTGAGGGCACCTTCATGTTTGCCTTGTGTGGAATCTGTCCACGCCCAGCAGAAGAAATGTTGCTTGACTTACGGGACGTGGGAGGGTGCTACATCTCTACTTATATACTGGGCGCTTCTGTTCGGCCCGTTAATGGCATTGGTCTGGCTGGAAGCTGCGTAGACTGGGTATCGTATTTGGTACTGCAAATTCACCTAGGGCTAGTGGCTGCACTGTACGGATGCTGCGGCCGGTTCAGGAAGGGCAAGAGGGCCGGGTGGGAGATTAACTCGATGCCCACTGTGCATCCTTGTATATCAGCGAGGCGAATTGTGACTTCGCCTAGACGAGATTGCTGCACGAGGCACGGTGCATCGGCAGTGGAGGACTCAACGTGAGCTACGCAATCTGAGGCATGCTAAGTGCCACAGGTTGGTGATGTGCCGATGCCGGAGACGAGGGTCGCATGATTGTGAGAGACAGAGGACCCGGAGAGTCGACTGGAGTGAACCCGATCCCGATCTCCTGCCTATTCGAGCGTGCGCGGATCGTAGTCCAGGAACTACTGCATCGACCGGGGGTTCTTCCACTTAGCGCTGGTCTAGCGCAGGTCCAGGTTCAGCCACCTCCAAGTCCATCCCACGCCGGTGCTCGCCAAGGGTCCAAGGGTGCTCGGGCACGGGTGGACACCAGGGCATGGTGGATCTCTTTCCTATTCAGGCAAATGCGAGGCCGTGCATGTGCATGTGAGCCAATCTAACAGACACGTTTAGGCCAAGATGACTGGCGCAACAAGACCGGAGCCCAGGCTTCTTGAGAAAAGGAAGCATTCTTGGCACATTGTCTTATCAGCCGTGCATAATCCCGATGTCCAATTCCGGGGGACTATCTCATGCTCGCTTGTGATCCTGGCCTGCGCCGGCACAAGTCTACAATAGGCATGAGCTCTCGACCTGCATATTCCTTCGCTGGGTTCCTGCATTACGGATGCCATCGGAGATTGCATTGCTCGATGTACCCCGTTAGTGGGATTCAGGAAGCCCATCCATGGCCAACACAGTACGCAGTCGGCGTTTCGCCCGGGTTGCAAAGAATTCAATTGTATTACAAGGTCTTTGAGGAGACGGTCTTGGAAATCGGGGCTTCAATCCTCAATGAGACGAGTCGTTTTTTGACCACCGAAGGGGACCCTTTCGCTGGAGCTGAGGTCCTTAAGAGGATACGACGGCAGCACTTCACCACTGACCGTCCGCTCAAGACTTTTGGCTACCTGCTGCGGTTTCTCACTGCTTTAGAAAATGAGGACACTTCTTCAATGGGCTGGCTACATCCAGCCCCTGCTTCTCGTGGTCTTTACGCCTTTTGCTGCTTCATTCCCTCTCGATGCCCATCCAAGTCCTCTGGATCTTGGAAACATCCCCACCAACGACTCGCTGCAAGAAACGCACCAGCTGTTCGCAAGAGCCCTGGCCACTCACTCCGGCTATACGAGCATTGTCTGGGACTCGGAGTGCACTGACGCACAGAAGAACTACATCAAATATGGACTTGACGATGCCAAAACTCTAGCATGACCCCTGCCCAGGAACACCGATCACATCACTAACATCACGGCATCCACAGGCCAGAACAGCAATGTCCAGGATCCTCGAGCTGAGAAAGACGCTCGAGGCCAAGGAACAGCCAGCAAACTGGGGAACAAAGTCGGCGTCGGTGACCGCGACCCTGATGTCGTGGAACTCCTTCTTCGGCACCATCATCCTCACAGAGGACGCACCGGCTGGAGTAGGCGACCAGTTGCTGATAACAATTGCGGAAGCAATCAGTGATATGAAGTACGTGAGAGGTAAGTGCCGTCACTATTGTTTAAATGAGAGAATATATCCATTTCCTCCATCACAGCCTCTAGTAGCGAAGGCTCACCCCATACAGGAAGACTCAGCGCTATAGTCAGCGCCATGAACAAAAGCAGCTGGAAAATCAAAGTCAACTGCCAGGACACATTCCTCACAGACCCCGAGGAGAAAGAAGGCAAAGACGAAGCAGGCAACACCATCAAATACCGTACGTCTCTCCAGCTGTCCTGCCTTGCCCTACAACATACCCCTTCTATTTCACGATATTCCATCCTATGATCCCGCTTACAGCCACCAGGCGTCTTCAAAGACAGCCGAACCACAGACTCAGCAGGCACGGTCAAAGTCAGCACCGCATCCAGCATGTGCCAGGACTCGACAAAGGTCAGCGCATGGACCTTCTACAACGACGTAACGGCCATGCAGGAGATGACGCTCTGTCCGTCGGCGCTCTCGCGCTGGGGCGAGACAACGCTCACGTCCACCGCGAACTCGCAGAGCGCCCTGAAGGCCAAGAAGCTGAACGCGCTGAAGCGCAAGGCCGGGGCGGAAATCATCCTGCATGAACTCACCCACTCGAAGGCGATACACGGGCAGGACAAGAAGACCCGTGAGCTTGCCCTGCATTCCACCCAGCCAGTGCAATGGTGCGATATATACTGACAACTTCACCCTTTTCACCTCAGGTGACGAGACGTTTCCCGTGACAGACGAAGACGGGAATGAGAAGGAGGTGCAGGCGTACGGGTTCGACAATGTCAGGGGGCTGGCATTCTTTGACCCTGCGGCTGCCATAACGAACGCTGGTATGTGGTTTGGCTCTTTACTTTAGTTTCTTGAACACCCCGCTAACCATAACCAGATTCATATGGCCTGTTTGCTCTAGGTTTGTCCTTCCTTGGTTCTGCGCCGCGAGCGATTTGCTGACTAGATGAAGCTATGTACTACGACGCGTGCGTGTGGGATGAGGGCGTCTGTACGGGCGTGGACAAGTCCGGCACATTCACGGGGGCCCATTTCGATTATTAGGCTGTAGGAGGATGTTCGAGCTTGGGCAGTTGGTTGGGTATGGGCTTGAGGGGGAGAAGGACGTGGCATGGCTGGATGGTATGCAGCGGCGAGGAACCTAGGTACTTCTAGTACAATCCACTTCAATTGGGATGCCAGACTTCTCTTCAACACCTCTAGTGGACCAATCGAGCAGTGAAACGATTTACTGTGCCAGGTATTCATAATTTGTAATGAGTTTTACCGCCTGGGAAAGTATGGGAGCATCACATGTGGACTCTGCAGGACATCACAGAGGCAGAAGAGGCACCCCAGGTTCCTAGACATATCAACTGGCCGTGAATGGTCGGACTGTGGACACCACGACCAGGTCCAAGGTGCTAGATATCATGCCTCCAGTGCTGCTTCCGCACTCACCCTGCAACCTTACCTGGATTTCCCCGGTGAGCCCAATGCCTAAAATCACCCAATGACAAGCCCAATATCTAACCGCGAAAGGCAAATGCATACCTCCCCTGGAGGCTCCGAGATCGGCTTTATAGATCAACTTAGGGTTACGGGCGGTACGGTATTCGGCCGGCCCGGTCCGTCTGCTCCAATGAAAACGCTCGCTTTCCGAGGCCTACTAGCGTTCGTATATTCTGGCGGAGTGCGGCAGCCCCAGGCGAGGCTATGCTGTCTTGAGGCAGTCGTCCGGTGCTACCGGCCTAGCTGTACCCTTTGCCCAGGGGTGCAGTAGTGTGGAATGTGTGGAGCTTGGTTTGATGGCCACCCTTGTTCCTGCCGCTGTACTCCACGTTGGTGGTAATGCATGCATCGGCAACTGAGGCACGGTAGATGGTGTACAGATATCCGGTGAGAACCCCGTTGTAATCCTGACGGCATCTCCGAGCGCACGACTGTACCTACCTCGGTAAGAGCTTGATGCCAGCAGTAAGTCTCTCTACACCGAGTCATTGTGCAATACACCCATCATGGTATTTGCAAACTAGCCTGCGAAGAGAATTTTCTCGCTACCTCATTTCGCCACCATATGGCCTGACCCACTGCATTAGATGGCAAGAAGAGTGCACAAGGTGCCGTGTAGGGTTGCATCTAATGCTGGAGACAAAAATTGGAGATTGCGTCAAGAGCCAGAGCGTGTCTAGTCCATCTACTTCTCCGGCAAACCGGTAGTTCCTAAATCTCCTTGAACTTGCATATAATACGGCGCAATGCCAGTCTAAGTCTGCGAGTTGAGACAGACAACGACCGACCCCGGCTAAGTCGACTAGATCTCTTTTGCCATGCTTTACTCCACCCCTCAAAGGTTAGGACTTGCCCTCCTAGGCCTCGAGCTTTCGACTGCAACCCCCCTCTCAAAACGTTTCTCCAACGGCGACTTTGCGACGGGTGAGACTGACCCCGATGTGAGCACGGCCTGCACATACTGGGCGAACTCTATCTCGTCTAGCGATACCTGCGCCGACCTTGAGAGCTACTATGGGCTTACAATTGCGCAGCTTGTGTCTTGGGTACGTTGAAGCTACTCCTTGGGTTTACTGCCACCAAGAACCTACAATATGAACCGAATACTAATGAGACACCCTTGCCATGAGCATAGAACCCCTCCCTGTCCTCAACCGAATGTACTCTGAACGAAGGATGGAGCTATTGCGTCGAGTCGACAGACGCAGTCAAGCCCATCACAACAACTAGCACTACGTCCAAGACAACAGCGACAGTGACCACTACAACAGCGGCCTCGACGTCGACCACAGCCACAGCATCGGCTACGACAACGTCATCTGCAAGCAGCCCATCCCCTACACAGACCGGGCTGATCTCCTCCTGCAACGCCTACTACTATGTGGAAAAGGGCGACTACTGCCAGGGCATCGTGGACTCCTTCGCGAACTTCACCTTGCCGCAGTTCTACGCGTGGAATCCGTAAGTGTCCCTCGCTTTCTTTTAACAAAGTACGCAAGGAAGTGCTGCATACTGACCCGGCTGTACTCGGATACAGCGCCGTCCAAGACGACTGCTCGGGCCTGCAGGCAGGGTACTACGTCTGCGTTGGCGTCACCGGATCATCCGAGCCCTCTGCAACATCTACCACCCTGACTACGACAACCAAGGAGTCAAGCACAGCAGTGCCAACCTCCACAAGCCCCTACGAGCCGCAGCAAACCGGCCTCGCCTCCAACTGTATGTCCCTGCCCAGCCGCGCCACCTGACATGACACCGCACCAGGTACGCGTGCGTTGCAATTGACCACACCGGCTAACCGTCGCAATTGCTGCGCTGTAGGCAATGAGTACTACTTCGTTGAGTCTGGCGATACCTGCGCCGAGATAGCTAGCGATAACAGCATTGCACTGTCCAGTTTCTACGCGTGGAATCCGGCGGTGGGGTCGTCGTGCTCTGGTCTCCAGGCGGGCTATTATGTCTGTGTTGGGGTTGCTGGTATGTCCATGCATCCATCGATTTCACTCTCCCTGTCTTCCAGTGTTCTAACGACAATCTCTACACAAAGGCACCACCTCCACCTCCACCTCCACGGCCACAACAACAACAAAATCACCCTCCACCACCGCCAGCACCACCACAGGAACAGGAACAGCAACAGCCCCCTCCCCTACCCAATCCGGCCTCACCCCCTCCTGCACAACATACTACAAGGCCGTCTCCGGCGACAGCTGCTGGAGCATCACAAACGAAAAATACAGCTACCTAGCCGGAACCAGCCTCTTCTACGACTGGAACCCAGCCGTGGGCTCGGACTGCGCCAACCTGCAAGCCGGGTACTACTACTGCGTTGCGACGGAAGACCAGGGCCCCATGCCAGACACAGATTCCTCCTGCAGCGCGTGGCATCTCGTCGCGAGCGGCGATAGCTGCTGGTCTATTGAGCAGGAGTATGGAGTGTCCGCGGCGGACTTTGGCGAGTGGAACCCGTATGTTGGGGAGGAGTGTAAGGCGCTCTGGTTGGGGTATTTTGTTTGCGTGGGGGCTTAGGGGGGATGACTGCTTGCTTCACGTGTGGCTCATGCTTCAAATGTACCCTATGATAGCTTAGGGAGCGTAGGGGCAGGGCCGGATGCAGGTGTGCTGGAGGTGGATGGAAGTTCTGGGTAGTCTATCCACAGTCTGATATTGTATCGTACTTATCCCCATGGTGGTATTCAAGCTTTGGACAAGCGGCTTCGGATGGGATCTCAAGGCGTGGTGCCTAATGGGAAGCTACCATATGTGGCCTGGGTACCGGACGGAGAAAAACGCTACCATGTTCTTGTTCCATAAGAAGCAACCGTCCACTAACAATCGGTTGATCTTTGTATACTATCTTTGTTTCACACATGCACTACTCCATGTGTCTTTGGATTGATCACATTTGCCGCATGGGGTACTCATCCTTCAGTATGTTTCAATAGGCCTATGATACAGTCCGACTAGAGAGAACATTCCAAGGACGGGTCGATACGGTACAACCTTATAGGAGCATGCTAACCCATTTCAAGGTTCCAGCTTAGGTAGTTGCTCACCCATATAAATAAGACCATCAGGTCAGCAGGTGATTTACAAGTAAAAAGCCAAGAAAAGTCCCTACAATCTTGATATCCACCTGTCTGGGGTCGCTGCATTCTATTCCAAAGCTCACCCGCCACGATAGAATTGAGCATTTGTCCTAACTAGGTGGTGCGCGTCCCGCCGAGGCAGGATGGGTCCAGGGCTTTTTTCAGGAGGAGAAACAGGGCTCTACTGTATTGAGCAGGCGGCGGCACTTGCTATGGACGCTGCGGCTAGGGCGCGTGGTACGCCAGTTCACTAGTAGCCAGGTATGCGCCTGGAGCATAAGGCACTTGTATATTCACAGGGTAGCAGGGCAACTCAGGTGGCAAGAAAAGCGTTGCGAAAGAACATCTATCTACGCCGGGCCAATGAGCCATAACGCGCCGTTCCTACAATTAGATGAGCAGGCGGGCAGCCCGACTCCAGCCCAGCCACTCAAACCATCTCCGTCGACGGCGCAACAGACCTCATACTAACCCTAATGACATCCCCAGACCCCGAGTCCGTAGCATTCCACAGCAGGTCGTACTCCCCGTCCGAATCGCCACGCCTCCTCACCGAGAACAACGACGTGACTTCGCCCTCGGCATCTTCCACGAGGAGCGAATGCCCGTACCACCTGAATCTGTCCGTGACGTACTCGTCGGAGTCGGAGGCCGTGCTGTTCACGAAGCTGAGTTCGTGCGAGCTGGAGGCCGGTCCGGGAATTGCCAGGATCGCGTCCGAGAAGGGAGGATCTGCGGATGGTTCCTTGGGGTTGCCGACGAGGCGGCCGTTGGATGTTGTGACTGTTCAAACGGGACGATTAGTGAGGGATCCAAGGTTGTCGATGGAGGGATACGCGGATACATGTACGTACAGGAGACAACATCCGCGGCTGTTGCGTTTGCGGGCCTATTCTTGCTGATTATCGCGGCTGCTGTTTGTGGAAGGGAGTTAGCTCTATGCTATCTATCGATTGGGTAATAGGATCGGACTTGCCATCAGCGTAGTGGAGAGGGAGGCCACCGATGCCATCGCCGTATGCGTAGAGGGTGAATGCTTGCGCCAGCGACAGGCCTGCTAATGCAGGAGCAAGAAGGGGAACCGTGGTGACGAGCTTCATGTTGGCTTTGCGTTGTATGTCAGCGCAAGTGAGACTGGGCGTTGTAGGGATGTGAGATATTTACCTTATCCTGTGCTAGCGATAAACTTAGAAGGAAAGCTTTAACAGGTATGCACCTCACATTCCAGCAGTAATGGGTCCTAGAATGTGGGTTTTCTGGCTGGGACGTCCCCAGCCCTAACTAAGCTTGGTTGTTTGGTCCAAGCCATTGGAATGCAAGGAACGTCACCTGCCATACCCCAGGCACATATCTAGTCCAAAAGGTCGAATTATAGTTACATTCGCCGGAGATCCACCGAGGCGTATCCTCAGCATGACTCGCGTTAACTAATTATGTCCTCGAGAAGAGCTATTTGGCCAGCATTCCTTCATAATGGCGCATTCCTACGGGCGGCGTAGTGACTATAAGGTTATATGAGCCACGTAGAAAGAGTGGAATAATAGGTACAAAAAGGAGATGCGCATAACGTTCACCTTACACTCTTCCTTTGATTTCCAAGGTTGAGTATGGACCGCGGAGATTCCCGTGTCAAGGTTCATTCCAGCGAGGTCAGAGCCGGAATGAGCAGATGCTACGGGTAATAGTAGTTTATGTGTTTAGACTTTGGCTGTCTCGGTTTGCCAGGTATCTCGCTGACGCGGCGCCTCGAGACACTCTGGTTAGCAGCTCAATGGCCCTGGAGGGTTGTACCAACCGTGAAGAATGGGTTTCCTTGAGTAGGGAGCTATTTCTGTACCTAAGGCAACGCCCTAACGACGTATAGAGTGGGATACGCTCGAGCCTCGTAGGTATCTCCCCGCGGTTATCAATTCTGTAAATATAGGCCTGACGTGGTTGCTAGAATGGAACAGTGAGCAGGATACCTAGTTGTAGCGCTCGAGTCAGCTGAAATACCTGGAGGAGAATACGGTACGAGGATATGGAATGCTGCGTCCGAGCACCATAAATATAAGGGAGAAGTCATTTATGTATGGTCATTGGGACATTGCACATACCTTCGTCAGAGTCTCCCTTGTCTATCGACTTGTCCACTCACTTCATTTTCGTCTTTTCTCTCTATTCCCTCGTTCTATTCTTATAATAATGATAATATTAATTCCCATACTGCAATGCCTTCTAGCACTTGCAGCTGCAACATCCACTCCCCCCAAATCCAACCACACCATCTGCAAAGGCAACACCGCAACCACCCGGCAACAATGGTGCACCTACGACATCAACACCGACTACACAACAATCGTCCCAGACACCGGCAAAACCCGCGAATACTACTTCAACCTCGAGCAAATCACCGCCGCCCCGGACGGCCGCGAGCGGTTCGCACTGGCCATCAACGGGTCAATCCCGGGCCCAACCATCGAAGCAAACTGGGGCGACACCGTGATCGTGCATGTGACAAACAGTCTGCCGGACAGCCTCAAGAACGGAACGAGCATCCACTTCCACGGGATACGGCAGTACAATACGAATCCCATGGATGGCGTCGTGTCCATCACGCAGTGCCCGACTGCGCCGGGGAGCACAATTACCTACAAGTGGCGCGCGATGCAGTATGGCTCGTCGTGGTATCATAGCCATATTGGCGTCCAGACGTGGGAGGGCCTGTTTGGGGGGATTGTGATCCATGGGCCTGCGAGTCAGAATTACGACGAGGACTTGGGCGTGATGTTTCTGAATGACTGGGATATCAGCACCGTGGACGAACTGCATGAGGAGGCGCAGACGGTTGGGCCGCCGACGCTGGATAATGGGCTCATCAACGGGACGAATGTGTTTGGGGCTGACGGGGATGCAAATCAGACTGGGTGGAGATGGAATACGACGTTCGTTGAGGGCACGAGTTATCGACTTCGGCTGGTGAATGCCGCGATCGACACGCACTTCAAGTTCATGGTTGATAACCATACGCTCACCGTTATTGCGAATGACCTTGTGCCGATTCAGCCGTATGAGACGACGGTGTTGGATATCGCCATAGGTCAGTCCCCTCTCCCCCACCAGCCCCTACTAATGAATCACATAGCCCAACGCTACGACATCATCATCACCGCCAACCAAGCCTCCGTGTCAGAAAGCTTCTGGCTCCGCGCGATCCCCCAAGAAGCCTGCGCCGAGAACGAATCCGCCACCAACATCAAAGGCATAATCTACTACGGCAACAGCACCTCGCCCCCAAACACAACAGGCCACGCCTACACTGACTCCTGCGACGACGAAGACCCATCAAACCTCACGCCCATCGTCAACCCGCTCAGCGCCTCAGCCAGCCCCTTCTACACGGTCCCCGAGCCCGTAACCCTCGCCCGGAACGCGCAGAACCAGTTCCGGTGGTTCCTAAACGGCACGTCCATGCGCGTGGACTGGGCGGACCCCAGCCTGCTGGGGATCTACGGGAACCAGACGCTGTCGACATTCGCCAACACATCGGGGATCGTGGACCTGCCGAGCGCGAACGAGTGGGTGTACGTGGTGATCGAGACCGTGCTGCCGATCCCGCACCCGATCCATCTGCACGGGCACGACTTCGTGATCATCGCGCAGGGGGCGGGTGCGTATAACAGTTCTGCGGAGAATCTGATTGATACGCTGGGGGTCGCGAATCTGCCGCGGCGGGATACGGCCATGCTCAAGGAGGCCGGACACCTGGTTATTGCGTTCCACACGGATAATCCGGGGGCGTGGCTGATGCATTGCCATATTGGGTGGCATGCGAGCGAGGGGTTTGCGATGCAGTTTGTGGAGCGGTATGGTGAGATTCAGGAGCTGCTGGAGGAGGGCGGGTATGCGGAGGGGTTGCTGGGGAATTGTGAGAGTTGGGAGAGCTATCAGGAGGGGAATATGGTTGTTCAGGAAGACTCGGGGGTGTAGATGGTATTTGTACGTCTATCACATGTTTCCACGATGTTATAGCATTGGATAGGGAGGGAGGTAAACAATACATAACCCCAACCCAGCCCTCAGTGCTCTCTGCATCTGCATCTGCCTCCAACCACATTCCTGACTTCTCTCGCTGAGTGAACAAGCAGCCATTGGAATTTGGCACCTGTTGCCGCTGATGGCACGCCTTCGAATTGCAGATGTACTCGTAAATGGAGCGGTGGAAGAATTGCACGCGGTGCTCAGTATAGATCCCATCGTGGCTGGTCTGCAACTCGAGCATTCCTTTTGTCAACGAGTCCAGCTTGCGCTTGACAGACTCAACTCGTGCCGGTGCATCTTACAGCGCTCTTTGACAGTGAAACTGAAGTGGAAAGTGCGGGTCGTCAAGGTCATCTAACCATGAGAATATGATAGCTGGCAGATGTTGAGGGACCAATCGAATGGCAATAAGTAGTGGTTTTGCGGCTCCAAACGATCAAGACTGTCCACTCTATCCATTATTTGATCGAATAGCGCCATTAAGTCATCGGGAATGGACTCCAGCTTCTGGCGAAGCGATAGCCAACTCCAGCCAAAAAGGAGCGAGTTGCCAGTCGTGCCCACAGGAAAACGCCCCGCGCTCGTCTGACGATCTCTTCCGCGAACTCTTGGTACCTGATTACATAGTATTGTTTAATTGATTCAAACTGAGGATCCTTCTCCATCATTGCCTAGCAGTATCCACCGATATCGGTCTCGGTCCGCGTGTGTAGGTGTATCTGTTTCTCGGAGCAAAGCCTGAATAAATGCATAAACTCGGTATAGGGTCGACTGCGCACACACATTTTCACGCTTCGAGATCGGGTCCATTCATTTAGATTCTTTGCAGGGGTCCAGTAATCAACACTGTCCCTTAATATTCACCAAGTCCGTCTATAAACAGGCACACTCGATAGTTCGAGGTACCAGGTAAGTTGATGAGCCTGATGGACGCTGCTTCGACCTCTTGCTGGCGGAATGTTGGCAGACCCTGCAGAGACCAAGATCCGTGGACCAGCCCAGCTGCGTAGGGTAGCTCACCATGAACGCGGGGGCTGTCGCAAAGCAGTTTCATCAATGTAGGGTTGACTTGCCAGACAGTCCAGCATCGCGTACTCCAGCATGTTCCAGAGCAGGGATATCAAGCTAACCCTCTCTTCCCAAGTACGCCACACGTCTGCAGTGTCTGCCTTCGTCCCAGAATCAGGGCAAATGTGCGTGCGGTCTGGCTTGCCCAGTCAGTCTAGTCCTGGTCTAGAACCCGGCCCCAAGCTTCTGTCCTACCTACCCTACTGTAGTCTGCGGTAAAATCGACGAATGACAACCTTGGATAGAAGGTCCCGACCGGCGAGGTAACTAATCACGCCAATATCAGCTCTGGTATAGCCAGGGAAGACGGGGGGAAGAGTGCGGGGAAAGGCGCTGTGGAAAACGCCGTTTGTTAGAAATATCCATTTGAAATCCTACGTGCTTTTTTTCTTCCCTTCTTACGCATATGCTGTTATAGTGGAGATCTTTGAGGATGCAGTATACGCGACACCTAAGACTCCTAACACCCCGTCGCTATCCTCCCAGGATGAGTTTTAACCCCAGTCCCCTCCCGCTTATCACCACACAGCCAAACCCACATCCATCACGACTCCAATCCGCCACCAGAACTCAAACCAAGACAGCAACCCCAGAATTCGCCGAAGAAACCGACCTCCTAATAATCGGCTCCGGCGCCGGCGCCCTAACCGCCAACCTCCGCGCGCGAAGCCTCGGCCTGCGCAGCATACTCATCGAGAAAGAAGACCTAGTCGGCGGCGCGTCCGCAATATCCGGCGGCGGGTTCTGGATCCCATGTAACCCCATCTCCGGAGTCGCGGACTCCAAAGACGCAGCGTTGACGTACTTCGCGCAGGCTGTGGGTGATGTCGGTCCTGCTTCGTCTCTCGAGAAGCGAGATGCGTTCGTCAGCAATGGGGCGCGGATGGTTGAGTTCCTAAGGCAGCACGGGTTTGAGTTCCATGTTAGCAAGGGGTATCCGGATTATTATCCGCGCATGGAGGGGGCGATGGGTGGGGGTGGGAGGAGCTTGGAGGCGAGGGTTTTTGATATGAGGAGGGTTGGGGTGTGGGAGGGGAGGATCCGGCCGTCGGGGATCCCGGTTGCGATGTATACGCATGATGGACGTGTGTTTTCGCGGGTGTTGTCTTCGGTGGTTGCGTTTGGGTATGTGGTGAGGAGGATGCTGCCGCTGTTTGCGAGGATGGTTGTTGGGCAGAGGCCGGCGAGTATGGGGAGGGCGTTGGTGGGACAGCTTCTGCATTTGAATCTGAAGCATGATGGGGAGTTTGATCTCAGGACGCAGACAGGCTTGTCGAAACTGATTCAGGACCCTACGGGCAGAGTCGTCGGAGCTGAAGTACGAACTGCTGACGCATGTACGTCCATCCGTGCAACAAGGGGCATCATCCTCGCAGCCGGGGGCTTCGCACATAACAAGGAAATGCGCGAGACATACTTGCCCAGCCCGGCAACCACAGACTGGACAAGCTCGCCCCCAGGCGACACCGGCGACGCAATCCAAGAAGGCATCCGGATCGGCGCGGCGACAGCGTTGATGGACGACGCGTGGTGGGGACCAACGATCATCGATCCCGTTACGCTCAAGCCTCACTTTGCATTGATGGAGCGCTCTGTTCCTCACTGTTTCATCGTCGACTCGAGCGGTGCGCGGTTCATGAACGAGGCAGAGAGCTATACCGACGCCGGCCACGACCAGTATACGAGGAACGAAACAGTCAAGGCCATCCCCGCCTGGCTGATTCTCGACTCAAACCATCGCGAGAGGTACATGCTAGGAAGGCTCCTTCCGAAGAAAAAACCTTCAAAGCAAGCGCTCGGTCAGGGTGTAGTCATCACAGCTACCTCGCTCGCGGAACTCGCCCGGAAAACCGGCATCGATCCAACTGGTCTCGTCGCGACAACAAAGCGGTACAATGAAATGTGCAAGACAGGCGTTGACGAGGATTTCGGCAAAGGCAGCAACGCCTACGACCAGTTCTTCGGCGACCCTGTCGTCGGTCCGAACCCGAATATGGGACCGTTGCTCAAGCCGCCGTTCTATGCTACCGCGGTCTGGCCGGGCGATCTAGGCACCAAGGGCGGACTGTTGACGGACGAGTTCCAGCGGGTCTTGGACAAGGATGCAAATCCTATCCCTGGTCTGTTTGCCATTGGCAATACTGCAGCTAGTATCATGGGGCGGACGTATCTGGGTGCGGGATCGTCGTTGGGACCGGCGATGACGCATGGCTATATCGCGGCAGATTTTATCAGCAAGGAGCTTGACGCCAAGTAGTGAGATGCTTTTGTAGAGGCTGGGTAAATGTATCGTGGTATGGGCTTACTGGAGTCCCGGAGGCGGGTGCTTAAGGGTTGTTAGGTAGGGTTGAGGCATGACTGCAATTACAGTGGGTGGACCGTACTAAAAGAAATAACTAGTTACTATAGGTAGAAGTCTCTTGTATTACATGGTGTGCTAAGCTAGATATTTTAGGAATAAATAAAGAGTTTTATAGTAGCTATTTAAGCTAAAAAAACCTTTTTTTATTAAAGCCTTAAGGCCTTTAATAGCCTTAAGTACTTACTTTTAATACTTTTTTTATTTATATTAAAGATTCCCTTAAATTAATAAGCTATAAGTTACTAGTATAAAAAAAGTTTTTTTTTTAAATTAATAAATTATAAGATATTAGTACTAAAAAAAGGCTTTTTTAAAAATATAATTTATAAGCAAGTATTAAAAAGTTAATAATTAAAATAATAAAAATAATAAATTATAAATTTTTAATAAAAGCTTTAGGCACCAGGTGGCCTAAAAATAAAATAAATAATAAATAATAAATTAAGTAATTTATAAATTTAAGGGCTAACTAGCATATTATTAGGGCCGACATTAATCCGGGTCACGCTATTAAGCAATGCCTAAGGCACCTAGGTTACACCACTGCAAAGTATTAATATTACCTATATAAGATACTTTAGGCACCTATTTAGCTTAGTAAACCTTATTATTATAAATTATTATATAAAACTTAATATAATATTAATTTTAACTAGAAATCTTAGCTTAGGAACCTTAGGCTTTAAATATTATTTAAGTAATAAATTAAAAATATGCCTTATATTAAATTACCTTAATAATTATAAAAAATAATTATAAAAAATATAAAAATAAAAATATTTAAATATTACCTACTTTTTAAATAAAAATAGCTTAAAAAATTACTTAAAGGCCTAAGGCCTTTAGGTAAAACTTATATAAAAAAATTAAAAGCTATAATATATATAATTTTTAAGTAATTTTTTTAATTAAATTAATTAAGGTTTTAAATACTTTATTTTTATTAATTAAAAATACTTTATTAAGCTTTATTATTTTTAATAAAAAAATACTTAGGTACTAGGGCGCTCTTATAATTAAAATTATTTTTTTTATTAATTTTTAAATATTATTAATATAGTATTTTAAATTAAATTTTTAAATAAATAAAAATAAATAAGAGCTATTTTAGTTAAAATTTTTAAAATATAAACTTAAATATAGAAAAGTTTAAAATTATTATTTTTACCTAAACTTATATTATTAATATTTAATAATGCTTTTGTTATTAAAGTTATTAACTTAAATAATAAACTAAATAACTTACCCCCTTTAATAAGTAAGGCTTAAAAAAATTTTATATAATATATTAACCCTTAATATATTATAATAAGTATTATTTTAATTAAAAATATTATTTTAAAAATACCTATAGCTAGGCTATTTATTATAATATTATAATAAAATATATTATTAAGACTAAAGCTTAATAAGGGTAAGTAAATAACTTAATAAACTAAAAAATAAGCCACCTTTACCTGCTAAAAATTTAAAAGGGTTATTTAACGTATTAAGCTTAAATAATAATAATATTATTATAGGTAAAATATTACTTAATTAAAATTAAGTATATAAATAACCTTAAATATTTACTAGAAATAAGGCTATTAAAATATTAATATAATAATTATTATAAAATAAGCCTAAGCTAAAAAAATTAAAACCCTTAAATATTAAAATTTTTAATAATAAAAACTTAATAAAGCTAAAAATATTTTTTAATAATTTTAAAAATATATTTAATAAAGCCCTTATATAATATAACACTAAAATAAATAAAGTTATATACTTAATAAATAAGGTTAAAAAATATAATATAAGTGGTGTGTAAAGTAAAAAAAGCTTATTAAACTACTTATATAAGTAATATTTAAAAAGTTTATATATTAATAGTGTGGTTTCATCGCCGGTGTTAATGCCTTAGGCCACTTTATTAGCCGTGGCAATGCTAAGGCCTAGAAATATTAATAACCTTAAAAAAATAATGTTTAGGCCTTACCACCCTAAATAAAAGTTATATAAATTGCTTAAAGGCCTTAATAAATAACCTTTAAATAATTTTATATTTAGTTTTTTTTATATTTTTTTAATTACCTAGTCTTACTAGCCAGGTAATTCCTAGCACTAGTATTATTATATTTAATAATATATTTTTAATTATTTAATTAATAAGCTTCTTTAATATTATAGGATTTAATTATATATAGTAATAAAATAATTATAATACTTAATTATTAAGGCTACTTAATAATATATTTATAGTAATGTCAGGGCCAACATTTTTTTATTTAATATTACTAAAGCTAATTTACTGTTAGTTTAAAGTTAGTGCCTTAGGTAATTTAAGCTTTAACCTTAGGTTATTAAGGCTTGGCATATTTTATTATTATATTAGGCTATATAACTTAACTAGGTTATTAATATTTAAGGTTTTAATTATTAATTAAGCAAGGCTAGGGTAGGCCCTAAGTATAGGCTAAAGTAAAAACCCGTGTGTAAAGTATTTAAACCTATATTTACTTTTTAATTAAAAATAGCTTAAGCATAGCTTAAAAATTTATAAAAGTAGCCTTAAAACTAGCCTTTTTTTTAAATTTTTAAGTAACTTTTTTAATATTATTTAATAGGGTTTAAAATACTTTATTTTTATTAATTAAATTTTTTTATTAATATTTTTATTATTAGTAAAAATTTTTAAAACTTATTAATTTTATAGTTAAAGTTACTTGCACCTACTACTTTTTAAACTTTTTTAATAATAATATTTTAAACTAAATTTTTTTAAGGTAAGCAAAGGTAGTTTATAAGTATTTTAATTAAGGTTTTTAAAACCTAGACTTAAATAGCTAAAAAAGTATTTTTTTTTATTTATACTTAAGAATCCTATTATTATTAAAAATAATTAAAAAAAAACTTAACTTAAATAATTTAGTTTACTAGCTTAATAAAGTATAAGATAAAATATACCTTTTACTTTATTATTTTATATTATTACTAAAACTTATTAATTTAAAATTTATTATAACTAAAGGTATCCCAAAGGGAAAGTAATTTAAAATTATAATTTTTAACTTATTTATTTTTTAACCTTAATATAATTAGTATTATATATTAAAATTAAAATATTTTTTAAAAAAAATAAGAAAAAGTTACCCCTGCAACCTAAAGCTAAAATAATATTAAATTATTAATTTTTATATTAATTTTTTTATTAATCCCCGCGCTAATTTTCTTATTAATATTTTTAATAAGTTTTAAAAAAAAATTAATTTTAGTAATTTTTTTAATTTTAATTTAAAGTTAAGCTTAAATAATTTAAGTTATTATTTTAAAGCTACTTTGCCTTTAAAACTTAGTGCTAGTAAAGCTAACTTTAAGGGGTTTAAAAGTTTTAAATATATATAAAAAAGGTATTAAAAAGCTATAAAAAATTATAAACTTTATTATAAAAAAAAGGCTTTTTAGGAGCCTAAAATTAAGTTTAAAAAAATTAAGAAGTTAAAAAAAATATATAACAAAGCTTAAAATTTAATTTAAAAATTTAAAAAATTATTTTTATAGCGCCCCTAAAAGGGTTTAAATAAATAATAAAAAAATTATATTTATTATTTAAAATACTTTAAAAAACGCCTGTAATTATTAAAAAGGTTAAGTTAAACTTTAAAATAACAAGTAAACCTAGGTAAATTTTAAAAAATTTATATATATATAAATTAACCTAGTTATAAACTAGGGCTACCACGCCGCCTAGTATTTTTTAATTAAATAATAAAATACTTAAAATACTATTTTTTAAAAATTTTACTTTATAAAGTTAGGCCTGTATTTTAATAATTTAAAGTTTAAAATATAAGTACTTACTAAAACTTATAATAAAAATATTTATTTATACTTAAAAAAGTTAAAAAAACCCCTAAAAACTATAATTAAAGTAAATATAGTAATAATTTATATAAAATTTATTAATAAGTATAATAAGGCTTTAAAAGCTAAAAAAAAAAGTTTAAAGCTAGTTCTAACTTTAAAAATAAAAAAAATAAAAAAAAAAAAAAAAGTAAAAAAAAAAGTAGTAACTTATTTTTTTTAAAAAAAAAAGAGTGTTATAAAAAAAGGGTTTTTATTTTAATTATAGTAAATTAAGCTATTTATTAAAGGCCTGTTTAAATAAAAAAAAGCCTAAAAAAATTAGTAAAAAATAAATAGTAATTTCTTGGTTTTAAGTTATTAAAGTTATATAATTTAAAAAAAAAGACTACTTTCCCTATTTTTATAAATTTTAAAATATAAAAAAATAAGGTAAATTAATAATTTAAGGTATTACTTAATATTAAAGCTAATATTAATTTTATTTTAGTTTAATATTTATAAAAATAAGATATTAAAATAAATACTAACTATATAATATAACTAGTTTAATATATTAATAATACCTTTATTTTTTATTATAAATGTTTGCAAGCCCGTACTTAGGTTTAAAATTTAAAAAAAATTATAAAAATATTTAATTTAATATATTATATTATTAATTTTATTTATAAAAATTATTAAGTAATCCTAAAATAACCTTAAATAATTATAATAAATTTAAACCTTTACCTTATTATAATAAAATTAACTTAATAAAATTATATACCTTTTATTAAAATTAAAATATTATAAAAGTTTATAAAAACTATATATAAAAAACTAGTATTTATAATACTTTATTAATTAAAAAAAATTAAAAAAAAGTAAAGGTGGTCCTGCCACCCTAGTATATTTATTAAAGTAAAGTTTTTTTTAAGTAAAAAGCTGCTTAACTTTTAACTAGTAAAGTAAAGTATAAAATTTTATTAAAAAAAGGTAAAAAGCCTTTATAAGGTTTTATTTATAGTTTTTCCTAGTATAAATTATAAATATTAAAAAAGTATTTTAAT